TTTATGGGGGGGCAACTTGTCGTTCGAAACCAACAACCGCCCCCCAAGTTATTTCACAAAAACTAGAGTCAATCTCAACAGGGGCTTTTTTCCCCCTTGCCCCTGCGCGGGCCCGCACCCGGCTGCCAACAAAGCCAGGTTTGGGCGCGTTGATGGAAGTTGCAGCCCGTTTCAAAAAGCGGACGGGCGCAACTTTATGGTGCCACGACAAGAAAGGAAACGAGGGGGGGGGGATTCTGTGGCAGTGCATATTTCCATGTTCCGGTGGTAGATTCGTTCGATTTTGCTCACCCTATCAATGGCTGTCGAGGTTCAGCCTCCTGATGAGTCGGTGGAAGTCCGACGAAACAGTCTAGCACAGTCATGCTTTGCCCCGTTCGTTCGAACGAACGGGCACCAACAATCAGGTAAAAAAAAAACAAAAAAAAGAAAGAAAAAATTTTAATAAAATCCAAGAAGAAAATCTAAAGAAAAAAAATCTAAACGAAATCTAACAACAATAAAAAGGAACTCACTTCTGAAAAAAAATGGTCGCCCGTTTTTACGGGCGACTGTTTGATGTACTAGGGCTGAAAAACCCCAGTCAGTTCGAAGTGCGCCACATGGCACTATACTTTTTAGTTTTTTACTTTTTAGTTTGTTTTTTTTTTCTTCTTCTTTTGTGCCCGTTGGCTTATGCCAACTGTCATGTCACGTTCGTGGGCTCACCCACGAATTGTTGAATAACAGACCCGAGTTCGATCCCCTTGGGGATCAAAAAAATAATTTGGGCCTTTTCTCGATTTATGTGTGTCATCCTTGCCTAGGGGCCATGCAGTCTCGGCGCGGCTGATTTCAGCCGCGCGATCTCGAAGATCGCACGGCCGAAAATCGGCCGCGCCCTTCCTCACGTGGTGGGCAGCTCCAAAAGGAGCTAGCCCGGTAGTGCGGCTGGTCAGGTTTGACCCCTGCGATTGCAGGGCAATAGTCTGGCGGCGGTACCTACTGGGCTAGGTCCTTTCTCACATTAGGAAAGGAGTAGTCCTTCTATGTGAAGGCTTCCGCAGCCCAGGAGGCCCCCTTCCAGCGCCTAGCAGGCTGTGCATGCTAAGCCCACTCGCTATCATGGCTGGCTGGCAGGGTTGGCAGCCGACAGCCTTAGCCTGTCTCTTATACACATCTAGATGTGTATAAGAGACAGCTACTGGGCTAGGTCCTTTCTCACATTAGGAAAGGAGTAGTCCTTCTATGTGAAGGCTTCCGCAGCCCAGGAGGCCCCCTTCCAGCGCCTAGCAGGCTGTGCATGCTAAGCCCACTCGCTATCATGGCTGGCTGGCAGGGTTGGCAGCCGACAGCCTTAGCAGCTGCCCTACCCAGCCGGTCCTAACGCCATCGCCCCCGGTCCTTGGCGCCGAAGCCCCGCGGACCCACGAACTCTCTATCCCTTCACGCTACGGTCTCAAACTCACCGCTGCGACTCCTTTTTAGCCCACTTAGGCCCTGAATTGCGCGGCTTAACAGCCACGTGACCTTATTATAGGTGAAATAGGTTTAATTTTAATGTTCCCATCTCCGCACGTCCCTGCGACACGCGACAAAAAGTGAAGCCTTGCCATTCACATCCGGTTCTTCTGGATGCTACATGCGTGCGGACTAACGTCCGAAAACTTTTAGTCTGTCAGTCATAGGTTAGGTCTGAATAAACATTGGCAACGTCAGTCTCATCAAGTCCTTCAATTCAGCGAGAAAGTCGAACAATGTCCGACATTGAGAAACCCCGGCAAATACCCTTGTCAGGGTATTTGCCCCGACAACGCAAGCCTGTGTTTTTCGGTCCTCCCTCCTTAGGCAAAAACGGCAAAAATCTGCAAAATCTGCAGAATCTGCAAATCTGCAAAATTGCAAAATCTGCGTTGTTCTGAAATCTGTGTTTTCGCAAGTCTATGTTTTTCTGCATATCTGTTGTAGGATTGGTTGCTGCAGATTTGAGCTTTTTGAAGTTCGGGACTAGGGATAACTTAGGGGAGACGAACCCGGACTCTTAGAATAGGGGGAGATATCGGCCACCGCACATCTTCCTCCTCCTCCATCTTCTTCGCCTTTCCACCATAGCCAACCATCTCACGCCTTCTTCCTCCTCCATCGTTTTCACCCATTCTCCATAGCCAAACACCTCGCACCTCCTTCCTCCTCCATCTTCTTCACCCATCCTCCATAGCCAACCACCTCACACCATCTCCCTCCTCCATCTTCTTCACCCATCCGCCATAGCCAACCACCTCACACCTTCTTCTCCCTCCATCTTCTTCACCCATCCACCATAGCCAACCACCCCACACCTTCTTCCTCCTCCATCCTCTTCACCCATCCACCATAGCCAACCACCTCACACCTTCCTCCTCCTCCATCTTCTTCACCCATCCTCCATAGCCAACCACCTCACACCTCCTCCTTCCTCCACCTTCTTCACCCATCCTCCATAGCCAACCACCTCACACCTTATTCCTCCTCCATCTCCTTCACCCATCCTCCATAGTCAACCATCTCACACCTTCTGCTCCCCCATCTTCTTCACCCGTCCACCATAGCCAACCGCCTCACACCTTCTTCCTCCTCCATCTTCTTTGCCCAATCCATTGTAGCCGACCACCTCACGCCTTCTTCCTCCTCCATCTTCTTCACCCATCCTCCATAGCCAACCACCTCACGCCATCTTCCTTCTCCATCTTCTTCACCCATCTGCAATGAACCCAGATCGTGAAGACAGTTATCAATAATGCAAGTCCAGATGAATGTCACCAGTTGATGATTACCTATAATCAAGATCGTGTCCAGACAGAATGAGACGAGATAATCATACACAGACGAAGGAGAGAGGAGCGAGATTAGACAAAGGAGAGGAAATAAATACAATGCCCACTCCTGCTTCGGGCTTCCTCCTCCAACACCACTTCAATAATCGACAGTCTGAACGAGTATCTGAAGTAACCTCAATGTGCCACGTGGCACGTCTAATTAGTCCCTCGTCAGCACTGAAGCAATATCAACATGAAGACAACCAGGTACGTTTTCACGATCTTTCCACAGTCCCGATCTTCCTCCTCCTCGCAACCAGTCACCTCATGTAGTGTTGCATACTGTAACGGTGCAGAGCAGAACAAGAACCGACCTTTCAATATAAAGTACAAGACAGCGTAGCGGAAGACTTAGGTACCAATGATCCAAACAATCAATATTGCAATGCAGCCCTGAAGATACGTCATCATCATCATTCCATGGTGTGAAAGGGGGTCTGGCGCTCACACTGGAAGATTGCGCCAGCCCCAACCATACACAGACGAAGAAGAAGGGGGTTAGACGAAGAAGAGGGGAATATGGGAATGTCGTCAACACCAAGTCTTCGGCACAGGCCCAAACAGTCCCTCGTCAAAATGTTTGAATCCCAATTTCGAGTCTGGATCCAATGTCGTCAAGTCTCAAGTCACAACTCTCTCTCTCTCTGTAATACTGAGAAGTCAGGTGGTGAGAGGGGAAGAAGAGATGGTGGACTTAGAAGAGGAAGAAGAAAAACTCTCTCTACTAACCTGTGAAGTTGGCGCCTTGATGCAGGTACCTCGAAGATGGAGCTCGAGCTACGGCGCCACAGGTAAGTCCCACTGGCCTCCGCCAGTCATCTCTCCCAACTCTACTACTACCACCTACTAGCGCCCAGCGCTGGAGACTATTGCTATGGCTACTAGCGCCCAGCGCTGAAGACTGCTGCTAGCACTAAGCTACTCCCTGCAGCGCTCCTCTTGAGTGCTGCGACCGAATCCTGAAGACTACTCTTGCCTACTGTCCGACTACCTACCCGTGAAGTGCATGGGAACTCCCTATGTACTTCTCGGCCTGCCTCCTAACTGCAGGGCGAGGCAGTCCAGGACGCTGCTCTTGCCAATGGCAAAGGGAGTCAGGAGCTGCTGCTGCAACTCTTGCTTGAGGTTGTCGTGGGAACAAGCTAAAGATAGCCTGTTCCCGAAACCCTGGTTTTGTGCCCGAGTATTAGGGTAGGTCGATCTTATGAGGGCCCGAAAGTGGCCCTCCGTTTCAGGCTGAAACGACATAGGGCCTGCAGGCGCTCGTTTTTCAGTCTTTCAGGCTGAAACGACAGGGGCCTATAAGCCCTTGTTTCTAGGCTTTTAGGCTGGAAATGCGGGACGGGCCCCGCAGACCCATGTGGCTATGCAGTATGCCACACCCCCCACTCCTTGAAAGACCGAGCTTACCTGCGAGGGCGAAGCTGTCTGTCTGAGGGAGGGACCACAGTCCGGGTGGGAGGGGCAGGTCGTGAAGGTCCCTGAGCTAACCTTTGTCGCTCGTAGTGAGCGTAGATCAGCGGTGCAGTTGCTTTCAAATCTGTTCCTGAAATCCACCGAGTGTCGTCGAGATCGCATGCTTTGAATGTAACTTTATACTGGCGAGCCTTGTTACCGTACTTGCGATCCGTGATGACGCGGTCAACTTCCTGATGACCATCCATAGATTGAGGGTCCTGCGATCGTCGGCCCGGGAAGTCGTCGCTCTTAGCTGGTGTACATGTTGCCAGCTTCGAGGCGTGAAAGACTGGATGGACCGTCAGATGCGCCGGGATGTTGATCACAAACGAAGGGCCATCGGGCTCATCACCCGCGACTAATGTTACGGGCCATGGTCCAAACCACTTGGGAAGCAGTTTGCGTGAAACATCCTGTTCCAATGCAAACTCTTTCGCGGAGACCCAAACCAGATCACCGGCGCGGATGGGACATGGCACGCAACGCCTGTTGGCTTGCTGCTGCATGCGGACTTGAGCCTTTTGCATGTTTGCGCGGGCTTGAGCCAGCAATTCTTGTACTTCCGGACGGAAGCGGGAGAGCAAGCGGCGTCGATGTCGGCTGGTCGTGGGAGAAGGTCGGCGAAGATACGGCCTTTCCGTCCACAGTGGTGCAACTCGAATGGAGTCACGCCGATCGCCGGGTGCACCGGAGTGTTGTAGGCGAACTCGATGTCGGGGAGGCGGTCAACCCAATCTTTCTGGTCCGGACGGATGAGCGTACGAAGCATCATTTAAGTGGTTTGATGTGCCCACTCCGTTTGCCCGTCCGTCTGTGGATGCCGAGCCGAACTTGGTTTCATCTTCGTGCCGGACTCCTGCATGAGAGCAATCCAAAATGCCGACATGAAGCAAGTGTCGCGGTCGCTGACTATGTCTTCCGGTAGAGCGTGGCCGCAAATCCAACCGGTGTGCAAGAGGCGTGCCAGCTCGGGAGCCGTGGAGTAGTACTTGCAAGGGAGAAAATGCGCATACTTACTCAAACGGTCCACAACCGTGAGGATGCCGTCGTGCCCGAGGTGATCGCGGGGAAATGATCCGGTGACATCCATGGCAATGGAGAGGCCGGGTTCCTGTGGGATAGGCATCGGGCGCAACTCGCCGTAGGGGTTGCGATTGTAGGGCTTGCTGCGTCGGCAAACTTCGCAAGAGTCGCAATACCGAGTGACATCGGTAATGAGGTCGGGCCATCGGAATCGTTGTCGAAGCCGTGCAATGGTGCGGTTGACTCTGAAATGGCCGGCGAGCCACGAGTCATGATACCGACCGAGAAGGCGAGTCCGAAGACGACGGTCTCGTGGGACACATAGTAAGTCCTTGCCTCTCGAGTGGAGGAGCAAGTACCCATCGGCAATGCGATATTGGCTGGCCGGCGGGTGATCCGAAGATAGCTGCGCATACAACGTGGCGAAGTCCGGATCAGACTCATAGCCCCGGATGAAGTGTCGCTGGAGTTCCTCGTCGAATGCGAAGGCATGATGTGTCATGGCGCAAAGATCAGGTCTTCGCGAGAGTCCATCTGCTGCGCGATTGGAGAGGCCGGGGAGATGTTTCGGTGTGAAGTCAAATTGGTCGATGAAGTACATCCATCGTCCGATCGTGCTGCTCACCATATCCTGTGCCTTGTAGTAGGTCAATGGGTTGTTGTCCGTGACCCATGTGAACCTACGACGCCCAAGGAGGAAGTGTTGCGATCGCTTGAGAGCCATCACGAACACGAGCAGCTCCTTCTTCCTTGCATCATCAAGCGAGTTGATGGGAGGCACTTTGTGGCTGAAATACTCCACAGGGTGCCAGTCGTCGCCATCGTGTTGTTCCAAGACTGCCCCAATGCCATAACCGGAAGCCTCAGTTGTCACTCTCGTAGGCAGGGTGGGGTCATAGATGCTAAGGACGGGTGCCATGAGCATGACCGTCTTAAGTGCTTGAAATGACCGGCGTGCGTCGTCATCGAATACGAATGGCACCTTTGGCAATTGTAATCTCGTCATAGGTGCAGCAATCCTTGAGTATCCGGTGATGAATCGCTGATAGTAGCCCGCCAACCCCATGAATAAACGAACGTCCGTGGTGTTGGTGGGCTCGGGCCATACGTGGAGGGCCTCGATCATGTCCGCAAGCGGACGGATGCCTTGCGGCGTCACATAATGTCCCAAGTACTCCAGCTCCTGCCGCGCGAATTCGCATTTGTCGCGGTTGGCTTTGTACTTGGCTTGTCGTAGCCGCTCCAAAACGGTGCGCAGGTGTTCAATATGCTCGTCCAAACTCTGGCTGTACACCAGGATGTCGTCGAGGTAGATAAGTACGAATCGATCCAGCATGTGTTGGAACTCCGTTGTCATAGCCGCTTGGAAAGTGGCCGGGGCATTCGTAAGGTCAGATGGCATAACCAGCCATTCGAAATGCCCATATCCCGTCTTAAACGCGGTCTTGTAGCGGTCCTCCTGTCGAATCTCGAGTTGGTGATATCCCGACTTGAGGTCGAGCTTGGAGAAGAACTTGGCGCCGCCCAGTCGTTCGAGAAGGTCGTCGATGCGTGGAAGAGGGCCGGCGTTTCTGATCGTTTGCGTATCGAGCTTGCGATAATCGATGCACAACCGCAAATCCTTGTTCTTCTTCCGGACGAAGAGAACAGGAGCACCGTATAGCGATGAGCTAGGCCGAATCCAGCCTTTCTCCAGAAGGTCGTCGAGTTGTGCCCGAAGCACACTTAACTCTTCCTCGCTCATTCGGTAGATGCAACCACGCGGAGGTACGGCCCCGTCCTCGAGGATGATCTCGTGGCGGATGGGCCGATCTGGTACTACTCCGTGTGGGCCTTTGAACATGTCGCTGTAGGCGTCGAGAAGCTCGGTGATGCGTGGGTCTGAAGATGAGTCCGTCGATGAAGCGTCATGGGGCGGGAGGGCGTGGAGAAAACACACCCCCATCTCCTCGATGTCGTCTGTGATGATGGAAGCTCACATGCTTGCGGCGGACACCACATGGCAGCTGATCGAAGGGTGAGGAGGATCTACCATGCATGGGACTAGTACTCCGTTCCGATCACGAACGTGAACGATGCGGCGGTAGAAGTTCACCTGGTGATCCTCACTTCGCAGCCATGACATGCCCAAGATCATGTCGAATTTGGTGTCCAATATATCGAAGGACACCGCCTCGCTCGCATGCGGGGCAAAGTACACGGGGACGTCATCAATACACCGGTCTATTGACTTGTGCGTGTGACCGTCCGCCAACGTGACTTGCGTCGACTGGGACTTCCTCCGGACGCGTGGGCCAAGGCTGGCGCGTACCATAAAGTCTTGGCTCATGTAGTTGCGAGATGCTCCGCAATCAATCAAAGTGCTGCAGGTCGCCTCTCCGATCTGAATGCGTACATATAACAACGGTGCGTCGATGTCATCGTACCCAACGCGAGGCATTAGAGCCTCTGATAAGCTCCAAACGATCCACTCCCGGCAGTAGAGGAGTGCCAAGGCACTCAAGGGTACCATGGACGACTTGGTAGCCGTCCCGGACCACGGGGTCACTGAGCCCCAGCTGGTCCAGTTGTTTTATCGTGCCATTCCAGAGGCCCTACGCGGGCATTTCTTTGACAAATCTCAGCAGGCCGGCATGACTTACGATGTATTGAGTAGAGAAGTCGTCCTGCATGAGTCGAAGTCTATACCAGTTACCACTTTCTGGCATAAGGACCTGGAGAAGGGGAAGAAGTGGAAAGATCGTACCATCTCGGGCCAAGTCAAGGCCAAGGATCACTTGATCCTGACATTAGAGGAGGGTGGTACAAAAGAGGTCCCATATGATTAGATTGAGTGGGGGCTAGGGGAGGAGTACAGTTGTGTAGGGCAGGGGAGGTCTTACGCTGCTGTCGCGGCCGGAGGGAGGCCGCAAGGTAGAGGAGGAGGCCAGGGCCAAAGGGGCTAGGCCATGGGAGGCCGAGGACCGGGCGCACAGGGGGTTGGC